CTTCACACCTCTTGATTGGCCTCTCTTTCTGTTCCCCGCTCCCGCCTCTCACTCCTCATCCCTCCCAACCTTTGTTCTCCCGCTACTTTACCTTTGCCTACTGCCCTGTCTCTCTCACACCTGAAGAAGGCTCCACGTCCGAAACGTGTTCTCTTTCTTCTTTTTTTCAGCATGGAATAAACCTATTACTTGTTCCTTTGCAGCCTACGCATGCTGACGCAGCTACCCACCTAAGCTATATACTGTATCACTTGATGAAAACAAAGGAGGAGACTGTAGATTATTATAAATAGCATAATGAACTTTATGTAACAGATAAGGGGAGAAGGGTTTCTCCTAACCATAAGATAAGATCATTTGTCAGTTTAGCCAGCAGGAGGAAGTGGCTACTAAATTGCGGTTTTTGGAACAAATGTTTTGTTATAGGCTACAAACAAATCCTGTCATAGTAACCAGCAGAGTTCCCTTGCTCTTGCACGCTGCTGCATCTGTGCTTTGAGCTCAGTACTGAAATAAAGGCCTGATGATTGCTTCACCTCTGTAGCCAGGCCTGTCTTTCTTTTACCTGGTCTCCTGAAGAGGGTTGACCTTACCTGTCTGCCCTCATGACTGTCCTCAAAAGACTGACCTGCCAAATGGATGAAGGTTCTCCAAAACCAAACTGTCAAAAGTCATCTGCTCAAAAAGGGCAATAATTTTCTATAAGATGGTGGATCAGCCTTGTGCCTGGTTACTGTTCCTTGTGTGTGTCCACCCTGTGCTGAACTGACATGCAGTTCATGGCTTACACTCAGTGCTGGTCAGATAAGGCTCACTATGACCCAATCAGATGATGTCCCTATAGATAATGGAAGGATGTTTACATAAACAAATGAATCCATTTATCAGTGTGATTTATATGATTTACTCAACTATATTATAGTCACATGTCACGACCCTCTGCAGCCAGAGGGCGCTCCTTCTCTGTCCTGTCCCTAGTTTCCAATCTGCTGTCCTTCCGGTCCCTCTCTTTCCCTTGGGCTATATATTTCCGGGTCTTGCACTCTGTCCT